AGTACTTTACAATACATAAGAAATAAATTTTGTAAGCAATGTTAATTTGGCATCTCTTCTGCTTGACAGCTGGATAAAAAAGCATGTTCGGCCATCCATGCTGTTAACCTGCGAAATTACTTGGGAGCCCAAGGACGTACTCATAGAGAGGAGCAGGCTGATGAATCTGACGAGTTCCTAGAGTTATTTGACCATGATATTACCTATATTGAAGGTGGTCGAACAGCCTCTGGGTTTTTCACTGTGGAGGAGATGGTAAGTAATTTAGTGAATGTAATATTACATATGCAGATTTATGCAATCGTTCATGCATTATTGGTTTATACGAAATTTTACCTTTGTTATTTTTAAACTGTGTATATAAAATATCATTACCTAATTTTTTTTAAGCATTTCATTATTTCAAGTATCTGATGTGTCCTAGGGACATGATGATTGTCAGACAATAACATATGGTAGTAGCATCACTTAGAGTGGAATGCTCTCTACTGATTTTAGTTTCTCTTGCATCTTGGCAGTGTCCAAGCTTCTTTTCCAGTTACACTGAGCACTCGGGCTACTAGTACAGTACTTTGCATTTCTTTAAAAATATTGAATTCCAGGAGTCTGGAGCCAAGGCCAAATGCATGGACATTGTCAATTTCTTTTTCAGTCTATAGTGTTTGTGTTAGCTCCAATATATTGTATGAGTTGTTGATAGTATAGTTGTTGATAGCATTCATGGGAAAAGTTATCAGAATTTTAAACTTTCACATTGTACATTCTGTGCAGGCTTAAGTTTTTCTATTACACTCTGCTAGTGCTTGCACCCTCGCTCTCACTGGTTGCTATGTATTCTATGTGTTCATCTTTGTTTCCTTGTATCAGAGCCTATACTAGTGCCTATACCAAATCATTTGCAATGCTCACAGTTAATTGACCATTTTCAGAATTCAGTTACACATTACTGATTAGCACAATCTTCTTTCTCTTAATACCACCAGGATGATTGCTGCTGATACCAGATATAGTTTTTGCAACAAATTATCAAAGTTACTATGGAAACAAATTTTTCATATTGAAAACAAATGAAAAAAGAAAATCTCACTAATGGCCCAGTTCTGTGGTTCAAAGCAAGGTAGAAAGTACATGGCTTGTTTAGCTTGACTGGGCCTGAATGGGTCCAGTTGGGGCAGGCAGGCACATTATGTAGGCTGTCAGGCAGAAAAAAAACTCTAATTTTAGCAGGGAACTAAACTCTTCAGCCTGAACACAGTTCTTGATAATTTATTATTTGTTATAAAGATAATGTTGCTTTATTTTTTGCTGTGATAAATTGTTTTAATATAATTCTTGGTTATATAGTAATCATAGGCCCCTCAACATGCTTCAAATACCCCAGACAGTCCCTCCCGACTACCCTACATATTTCACAACACCCCATACCCCGACACCATCCGCCCCAACACTTCCAATACCCCTCACTTCGACCCACTGCTGTATGGGATTATTGTGGTATGCCCTAATGCCATTCTTGGCATTAGGGCATACCCTAATATCCAGCAAAATTTCCCCAGTTTTGGATTTCTGTCTATATATGGTGAAGTTTGGCAGAACATTGTGGATACGATTTTGGCCTAATAACTCTAATATCCATTTCAACAGCCATCGGATAACCAAACTTGTACAGTTTTTAAAAGCAATTCTAAAGTTGGAAAGCATAGCATACACTCCTTGCAGAATGTTCTTAATGTGGCAGTTTTCTATCCAGAACCCTGATCTTTCTTTTTCAGAATTTGTTTGTGTGTTACTTTTTATAAATTGTCATTGCCAAAATTTTAGTTAATTTTATTTATAGAGCTTGTAGCATGTGCAGTAAGATGTTAGGCCATGTTATATGTTGGACTGTGTATTTTAGAATCTAATGTCTTGTCTCATTTACACTTTCATCTTGAATGCCAAAAAGTAATGTACTCTCATTTTCCAGGAATATCCACTTCGTCTGTATCGCATCTTTCCAACTAACATTGGCATTCACTTGGAGACTGTGGCATGTGTAGCCGAATCCTTGGACCCTCGGCATGTATTTTTACTCGATGATGGTAAAGTCATATATGTTTGGCAAGGGAGTAAAGCAAAGAAAACATTAACCACCAAAACGAGGCTAAGTGCAGAAAAGATGAACAAAGAAGAGCGAAAAAATTTAGCTGAAATTCATACACTGGTTCAGGATAAGGAGCATAGTGAGTGGCCACAATTTTGGGCAGCTCTTGGACTAGAAGAGGGTGAGGAGGAGGATTTAGAGATTGAAGAGCATGTGGATCCAAAATTTACACCTGTTGTTCCAAGACTTTACCAAGTTGGACTTGGTATGGGATACCTTGAACTACCCCAAGTTGATGTACCTGAAGGAAAATTGGTTCAGAAATTACTTAAAACAAAGAATGTGTATATATTGGATTGTTTCTGTGATGTCTTTGTTTGGATTGGCCGTAAGTCAACTCGTTTAGTGAGAGCTGCTGCCCTGAAACTGTCACAAGAACTGTTGAAGATGATAATTAGACCAGACCATGCAGTAACTACTCTTGTTAAAGAAGGAACGGAGCCACAAGTTTTTAAAACAAAATTCAATGGTTGGACAGATGTTATTGATGTTGACTTTACACGCACTGCAGAGTCTGTGAGAAAGACTGGGGCCAACTTAAAGGATTGGGCCTCTAAACAAGAGACTAAGGTAGACCTGAGTGCCTTGTTCACACCTCGGCAACAGCCAATGACCTTAGAAGAGGCACAGCAGTGTATGGATGAGTGGAATGATGACTTAGATTCAATGGATGCCTTTGTTTTGGAGGGTAAGAAGTTTGTCAAACTTCCAGAAAATGAACTTGGACACTTCCATTCTTCTGAGTGTTATGTGTTTCTATGCCGTTATTGGGTACCTGGAGAACCCCCAGAAGATGAAAAAGAGGAGGAAGCAGAGCCAGAGGATGACTTCCAGTGTGTTGTATATTTTTGGCAAGGACGACAAGCTTCCAATATGGGGTGGCTAACATTCACCTTCAGTCTTCAGAAGAAATTTGAAACCTTATTTGGAGATAAGCTTGAAGTGGTGAGGATGCACCAGCAACAAGAAGCTGTCAAATTTATGGCTCATTTCAAGAGAAAATTTGTCATACACTCGGGACGACGGAGACAAGAGAAGCAGCAAGTAAAACCAGAAGAAGAACCACATGAAGGTGATGCCAAAACAGTGAAACCCAAACCTAAGCCTAAACAAAGACCACCACCAGTGCCAGAGGAACCTCAGAAGCCTCAGCCCGAACTTTTCCATATGCGATCTAATGGCTCCCCACTCTTTACGCGCTGCATAGAGATAAAGCCAAATGCAGCATCTCTCAACTCTGAGTTTTGTTATATTCTCAAAGTTCCATTTGGTCAGGATGATGACAGTGGTATTGTATACGTATGGTTGGGTGAGAAAAGTGATGAAGAGGAAGGAAGACTGGCAGAAGAAGTTGCACAAGAAATGTATGACCCAGAAAAATACAGCCTCCAGGTGTGTTATTTTTCATTTTTATTCTTACATACTGTAATTTAAAATAAATTTCTGTATCCTTTCATTGGTATACTTTCAAGTTGGAAGGCTAGTACTTGAGAAGCATCAGTTGCTGATGCTTTTATCTGATGTAATGTTTTCCTTGGAAATCATCCATGAGGGGGTGACCATTTGTTAACCACCACCTGATATTTGTAATGCCCTAAAGTCTTAAAACTTGTACATGCATCTGAAATATTTGTCAACAGTTTGACATGCTGGGTTACTATATATGAAGCAGTGTCTACCAGAAAAAATAGGAAAACACACGGGATTAAAATAATTCAAAGAATGGGAAATTGTTACAGGAAGAGTTTAGGGTAATATGGAGGAAATGAGGTTATTCTTTGTGGTAATGTTTACACTGTTAGGATTGGACCATAATAATAATTTATTTTAACTAAATACACACATTTTTAAATTTGAATTGTTAATACAGTAATAAGTATCATACTTAGTCGAGAGTGTACTGTAGGGGGAGGTGTAAGGGATGCTTTTTGTAGAGGTGTGAAGCAAGGCTGTTGCTTGAAGAGGGGGGGGTCCATGGTGAGAAAGCCGAGGGTTGGTAAAATTTCTGAAAGTTTTTTATGCCATTCACATAAGACTGACAAGCAAGTTCTTAGTGGCTTGAATGCTGTCAAGTGAAAACCTCTTCGAGTTCTCATCTTGCATTTCCCTGATAATTTGACAGTTTGAACCACAAAAGAACATTGACTTAACATTTTTATTCATTGCACGGTCTCACACCTAAGCATACACACAATTTTTTATATATTGATAAAATATTTAATGAAATTTTGTAATTCAAGAAATCTGAATTGAGTAGAATGGAAATACATTATCTAAAATGTACTAAATGTTCATTTCCAAAATAATTATGCAAATTATTTTGTTAACTTTATATTATTTGCATCTGCAAAGGTTGTGAGAGAAGGAGAGGAACCGGAGAACTTCTTCTGGATTGGTATTGGTGGTCGTAAACCTTATGATAAGGATGCAGCGTATATGCGCCACACAAGACTTTTCCGATGTTCGAACGAAAAGGGATACTTTGCCGTCTCTGAAAAATGTTCTGATTTTTGTCAAGTAAGTTATTTTTATGCATGTATTGCCACATATCAGCAATATTGCTGCTAACATTTTAGTTTACACATTTATTAGCACTTGTAAGATTGTATCAACTGGCGAGGAGATTGTAAAAAACTGTACAAATCCTCAATAACTCTTTCTGCAGCACAGCAAGTTTGGCCCTATTCTGTTTAAGATGTTACCAAGATCATTTTTTTATATTTGTTTTTTATATTATACTTCTAACAAGAAAAATAACTTCCATCTGTACCATTACAAAAGGGATTTTATAGTAAAAGTTAATTATCTTAATTTAAAATAGTCAAAGTAACTCAATAGTGGGTCATGTGTGTTCCCAATATATAAACATCATATCAAAAACAGCAATAAGTGTATTTACCAAGGAATTGTATGTGTTAGTCACAAAATGCTAGCAAATATTCATTCCACTTTTTTCTCCTATCCACATTGTTTTTGCTTTCTTAGTGTCAGAGTGGCCTCATTTGCCAGTTTCTTCAAATCAATTACCCAATTTAAGCTCATGAATTAATGTACACACAGACTTAGATTAACAGGGTCATCTTGGCACTTATTTTGAAAAATTACAAAAATAACTTTGCCTGACCCAATAAGCCAATCTGAATGCTCTCTCCATAAGTAAAGATGTTAATAGAATGCTTATCAACACAAAAATTGCAATTACTTGTAAATTTTAAGTGTTTACGATTTCTTTGCCAATTTCTTCAGTAAGAGGTTGTGGAAGACAGGCAGTGGTCTTGGATAGCATTTGCCTATCATAAAAGCTACCTCTCACCTGCTTTGTCTTTGTGTAAATTAAATAAAACACACACACACACACATGCACAGCAGATGATGACGTGATTAGGGAACAGCAGGATCGTTGCATTATTATCTAGGGGTAGTTTTGGAGAGAGAGCTATGCAAGTAGTGTCCCTGTTATCATAAATATACCAAGAGCAGTAGTAGAAGGTGAAGAGTGACGATTATTGAAAGTTAGTTTAGTTCATTTATTATGCACCCCATACCATCTTGTGGGCGGTAGTGGAAAGGGTTACAGAGGCACATAATGGGCTCAGGGACTGAACCCCACAATTCATTTAGCTAAGCAAGTTACAATCTTGATGAGCTAGTTACAAAATTCAATACAAGTCGTCACATCAACAAGTACAGGTTCTAAATTAAGCAACTGACATATGTGGAGAGCTAGTGTCACAATTTACATGTTTGTCCTGCACACCGCCCCCCATCCTGTGGGCAGCGGATTATTAAGACATACAAATCTAGGAAAATTTTGAGGGGAAAAAAAAGGGGGGGCTACTGAATGGAAGCAGATGAAAATCTAAACAAACAAAAATGACGAATGCAATGGGATCACCAGTATCAGTAAGGGATGAAAAATTTCAAGGGTTTTCACTAAAGAAATAGGAAAAGGAGGCTGTCTTGACTGTGAAGTTAACACTTTCGTGCACCCCGCGCGCCACCCCTCAACTGTGCGATATGGGACCCAGGGTGTCACGGGAGCGTGCGTAAATTCTGAAAAGTGTATACTCTCCAACTTTGTCACCTTAATTCTCGTCCTACGAGATTAAATTTTGTATCATTGTGTTCGCAATAGAATTCTCTACAGCACTAAATGCATATAAACTCCAAAAGCTCGGCTAATTACCCGCAGCAAATAGAGAAAGTGCGAACGAGTTACCCAGGAGCGCGCAAACGCGATAAAATGTTTTCACTATTTTCACTCTGGTCACCTCAATTTTCGTCCTAGGTCTTTCATTTTGGTCTCAATGGGTTCGCAATAGAATTCTCTAGAGGAACATTAGCATATAAAATAAAAAACCTGGTCACGCTCCAACCGCCGACGAGTTGAAGACGGGCCACGCGTTAGCCGCAAGCGAGCGCTCAGACGCCTTCCAGCTACACTCCCAATTCCCGCCCTTTTCAAGCCTTTCTTTTGCAATTTTCTTCCTGGAAGGGCCTTGTTCATGATCACTATCGATCGTGGAGTAAGCGTAGATAGTTTCTAAAGCCGCAGTAAGAAATATAGCCACGGAAAATAGCCGAAATGTTCACACGTTTGAGATGCGAGGGGAGGCAACATTGGTCACAACAGTGGAGCGAAAACAATGGGCCCACGGCGTGTGCTAAGCCGCCTGAGGGCCACGAGGCTCAACAAAGAAAATGGGAAGACATCGGCTCGCATTTTAAAACCAGTCCCAAAAAAATCGGATAAAAACCTGATTTTTGGCGATTATTTAAAGTGGATGACGCAATGCTGCGTCATCCCCGGCATTACCGACAGTAAACGGATGACGCAATGCTGCGTCATGCCCGGGCGAAAGTGTTAAGATTGAAGGAGGAGTTATAGATTTATGAAAGAAAATTTCTTAAATTAGAAAATGAATACAAAGATCACACATACGAAGAATATTTTACAAGGAAGTATTTTGCAACAGAAGGAAATTACCAACTTCACTGATATGGTAAGGAGATAGGAGGGACAAATGAAATAACAAGTGAAAGAAAAGAAAACATGGAAAATGAAAGATTACAAATTTGAAGAAATTAACAGGAAAATAGATCAATTTAGAGAAGAACTTGGAGCAATCCTACAGGCTAGCCAAAACTAAGAGTTACATAAGGATATACTAGAAGAAACTTTGTGGCCAGCTCAAATGGTGGTTACTAAAGGATTGTTAAATTGCAAGAAAATGCAAGAAACATTTTCACATGCTTTGAAGAGAGAGAAACAATCAAAGCAGTATGTCTGGAAGTCAAAAACATAAATGAGCATAAAGAAACAGACATTAGACTAGCAGTAAGGAAAAAACTGGGTACCAGTAGTAAATTAGTAAACAACAATGCAGATAGAAGTAAGTCCATAATTTTTTATTTTTGGTGTTTTGAAAAGGAAATACTGTACAGTGAACTTGCCTACAGTCCACCAGCAAGCAATACATATATATGGTGTGTTAAGCAAAACATGGACTAAGGAAGAGCTTGATGACAAATGAGTCTTATAATGATCATGCAAGAAATTATACAAGGAGCAGATAAAGATAAATCACAATTGTTGATAGCGTCTTCAATTTGAAAACTATAGACCGGGAAGCCTATGAAACAAGAACAGAGGATTTTTTAACTGGCCATTTCCTAGACTTTATCCTGGAGGCTCTTATGTATCAACGTGTTAATCAGGCTATGAGAATATGAGAAGGGTGTCCATCAATGCTGGATTTATTGTTTATCAAGAAAGAAGTAGAGATATTTGACATTCTGTACCTTTCTCCATTGAGTAAGTGTGACAATGCTTTCAGAGATAGAAAATGGAGAACAGATTCACAGAGAATGAAAAGAAAATGTATGCAACACTAAATGAACAGTTCCAAAGTGTGTGTGTAAAATGGTTTTTCTTATTAGACACGATGTAGAGTATACACAATTCTCTAGAGATGAAGTAGAAATAATGTTCAAGGGGCTACAGTAGTTAGAAACAAAGCATTGGCCTAGATGACATTTCAACCTGGGTTCTGAGTGTGTGTGCACCTGAGCTGAGCTTTCGACTTCAATTGATTTTTCAGGAACATAGCAGATACAGTACAGGTGTGTGTGTAAATCACTAAAATTAACAAGTGATGAAAAATGTGAGTGTCAGACCACGAAGGAAGAATTGAAACAGGAATTTCCTTAAGTACTTTCATATTTAATAATACATCTTCAGAAGGATGAGCTTTCTTAAGATATATTATTAAATACAAAAGTACTTAAGGAAATTCTTGTTTCAATTCTTCCTTCATGGTCTGACACTGTCACAGGTATTTAATAAACAGTAAAAAATGGTTCCAATCTACAAAAATGAAAGCAGAGACCCTCTAAATTATAGATTGTGTCATTAAATTAAGAAGCATAGCAGTCAAAACACTAAAACAAATAATTAAAACCAAATGGGTAGAACTAGCATAAGAAATTACATAAGACACAGTATGGCTTTTGAACAGAAAGATTTTGTGTAACAAATCTAATTAGTTTTTATAAAGCCACAGCGATTTTACAGGAAAGAGGTGGTTGGATCGACTGCATATATCTGTTCGTATTTAAAAAGACAGTCCCACACAAGACATTGTTATGGAAGCATGCTGGAGGGGTGAGAGGCAGCCTGCTGACATGGCTAAAAAAAAAAAAAAATATCTTGAGGATATCTTGAGATGATTTCGGGGCTTAATGTCCCCGCGGCTCGGTCCTCGACCAGGCCTCCACCCCCATTTACTGCTAGGTAACAGGGGTATCAGGGTGAAAGAAACTCTGCCCATTGTTCTCGCCTGCGCCTGGAATCAAACCCGGGACCACAGGATCACGCGTCCAGTGTTCTGTCCACTCAGCCACCAGCTCCCTAACTGTAAAAAATGTTCTGACAAAAATGAGGGCAGTATTCAGAGGTAACATATCAAACTAGAGAAGTGTTACTAGTGAAGTACCATAGGGTTCGGCCCTTATGTCTGTAATGTTCATCTATATAAATGATCTACCAAAAGGAATACAGGACTATATGAACATGTTTGCTGATATTAAGCTACTAGGGAAGGTAGAATCCTCTAAGAAGACTTGGAGGATTGTCATGCCTTTCAAGATGACCTGAACAAAATAAGTGTATGAAGCAACATTTGGCAAATGGAATTCACTGTAAATAAATGCAATGTTAAGGAATTGGAATATGAGAAAAGAACTCTGATAAAGAGATCTAGGGATGGTTCTGGATAGCAAACTGTCACCAAAGGACCATGTAAACCAAGCATTTCAAATATGCGGCCCACAGGCCACATGCGGGTTTTTCCAAGCACACCTGCAGCCCGCACAAAGGATACTATAATTTGGTACATAATATAATATAATAGACAAAATATTATGAATTAATTTTTATTAAATGACTTCAATTAGTTGTCATTTGTGGCCCTCTTGATAACATAAATGTGACCCATATGGCCCTCTGGGGACCCTCAGTTTGACATGCCTGACAAACAACATTGTGGAAGGAGCATATGGTATGCATTCAAACTTGCGAATAGTTTTCAAGTACTGTACTGTACTGTACATGGATGGTGAAATATTAAAGAAATTGTTCATGACCTTTATGAGGCCAAAACTGGAATAAGTAGCAGTTGTATGGTGTCCATATCTCAAGAAGCATATAAATAAATTAAAAAACTTGCAAAGGCATGCCATGAAATGGCTTCTGGAGCTGAAAAATGAGCAATGAGGAGAGGCTAAAGGTGTTAATATGCCAGAGCTAGAAGATAAAAGAAAATGAGGCAATATGATTACTACATGCAAAATACTAAGAGGAATCAACAAAATTGTCAGATAAATTTTTTAAACCTGTAACTTCAAAAACAAGAGGTCATAGATTCAAGCTAAGGAAACAAAGGTGCTGAAAAAAAAATTAGAAAGTTATGTTTTGCAAACAGTGATAGATGGTTGGAACAATTTAAGTGATAAGGATGCCAAAATCATCAGTAGTTCGAAAGTGTCATATGACAAAGATTACTGGGATGACACACCACCACAGTTGTATCTTGTAACTATACTTGGTAGTTATACACCTACCCGGGCCCGTACTTTGACCTTGCCTTATGTTGGGTATAAACATATAGACTAACCTGTGCAGGTATTATTTAGAGACAGATATAGACTAAAGTTTAGTAATATCAAAATAAGTATTAATTATTTTTTAACTTTGCCTTTGTGATCACAGTGTTTGATGGTAGTGTGATAACTATTTGCATGAAGAGACAGTGATTGAGGGACAGAGATCTCTGGTGGTGCAGTGGTAACACACACACCCTGTACCTCACGGACAATATGTCTAGGTTTGAGTCCTGGGCATGGAGGATTTTTCTGGGTGTCAATCCTTAAATGTTTGCCTCTGTTCACCCAGCAGTAATTGGGGTACCTGGTGGTTAAACAATTGGCAGGTTGTATTCAAGGAAAACTAGTGGGTAAGGTTTACTAAGAGGTGTGGGAAGGGGAAAGCTCTCAACCTAACAGGAATCAGAAGTCATCTGTTCCTGTGCTCACCTGTGCAAATAAGTGAAGTCAATATGAAGAATTTTTGTGATCTTTGTATTTTATAAGATACACTCTAACCTTGCTTCTTTTGTGCCTTTTTGTTGGACAAATATGATATGCAGTGCAGTTCTGTGTACATAAATTTTCTTGAGTGAACAGATGAGGATGAGTGAAGTTGATCATGGGAATTAGGAGTGTTTCTTATGAAGTGAGACTTAGAATAATACATATTAAATGCCTTCCTTGAGAATATATAAGTGTTTGAAGAGGAAATATATAAACAAGATTCTAAAAACATCAACCAAAGTTACACAAAACGAGAATTCAAATTGGAAAATACATGGGTAAAAATTTATTTGGAAATACCCATGTGAGTCTGCTGAGCAAGTTACCAAGTAACATAACAGTATAGGATGAAACTTTGACAATTAGAAGTATTGGTCGAGTAAGTACAAGAGTTGAAGTAAACTTGGAATTGAGGATCCTGGGTTTGATCCCTAAGTGGAACGGAAACGGTTGGCACGTTTCCTTTCGACTGATGCCTCTGTTCTCACCTAGCAGTAAATAGGTACCCGGGAGTTGGGCAGTTACTGTTAGTTGCATTCTGGGAAAGGTTTGATAGTTGTCTTGGGACCTCAAAAACCCCAAGTACAGTACAGACTTTGTCCCTGGCAATGGGAATTATATATACTGTATATATGTGAGCTGCCTTGCATAGGAACAATAGGCTTTCTGCAGATTACTATATTTTATATACTCAAATTACACTAGCCTTTGTTAATTACACTAAACTACTTATAGAACTTATGTTACAGAACCATGTAATAAATTCATCCTCTATACTCATTATATTACCATCTTCATATCCTTGGAATGCCAGCTTGGTGATAAGTTTCTCATACAATACCAAGTTAATACTGTACATTGTTTTATTTGACTAGAGTTGACACCATTTAAAAAGTCACCATACTTTGTCACCATAAAAAAAATAGTTTACTCATCTTTTCTATGAAAAATAGTTTGTCTATGATAAAGTACTGTAGAGAGAGAGAGAGAGAGAGAGTGTAGCTGTATTTATTAAGGCACCCAAGATGTTTACCAAGATTATTTTTATTCTTTTCCTTATAGGATGATCTGGCTGATGATGACACAATGATTCTAGATGATGGCCAACAGGTCTTCCTCTGGTTGGGATCAAAAGCATCAGATGTGGAGATAAAATTGGCCCTCAAATCTGCTCAGGTAAATGACTAATGAATGCACTACTGTCTAAATAAATGTGTGCGCGCGCACACGTGTATGTATAAAAAAAGTAAACTCGAAGTTCTTGCAACAAGCAGAAGCAAAGAAAGAATTCCAGAGCACAAGCTAATGAATTATGATTCGGTGGTTTTATCTTGACAGTGGAAGAGTGGGGGAATAAATCACACGCGTAGATCTTCAGTGTGGGTGTATTACAGTTAGTATCTCACTCAGGTAGTGGGAGACTGCTTGTAATGCTGAGGTTACCTTGTGTTAATTCCAAGGATCGATGTCCTTGCCACCCGGTCTCTGACCAGGCTTCCTGGTTGGTAGTCTGGTCAACCACATTGTTAGATGTGGCTGCTCACAGCCTGGTTGATCAGGTATCCTATGGAGGTGCTTATTGTGTTCTCTCTTGAATACCATAAGAAGCTGACCAGTTATATTCCATATTTGTTGAGGGAGTGTTGAAAAGTTTTGGGCCCCTTGATGTTGATAAAATTCTCTCATCATGCCTAATGCACCTCTGCTCTCCAATGGGGCTATCTTGCATATCCTGTAATGCTTCTGGTCTCGTATGGTCTTATTTCTGTGTGCATGTTTGGAACCAGTCCCTCTAATATTTTCCAACTGTATATTATGAAGCATCTCCCTCACCTGCACTCTAGAGAAGACAGATTTAAACATTTTAATTGGTTCCAATAATTTTGATATTTTATTGAGTGGCTTCTAGCAGTAAAGCTTCTTTGCACAATCTCCAAGTCAGCAATTTCTTCAGCTTTGAATGGGGCTTTTATTGTGCAACAATATCTCATCCTCGAGCACTAGTGTCTTGAAGAGTACTGTATCATCATTGGTATGGCATCTCTTGTTTAAAAGGTTGTATTATCTGACCTGTCATTTTTCTTGTTGTGACAACTACTTTATTGTGTCCTTTAAAAGTTAAGTCTTAAGACATGATTACTCCCAGACCTTTTATATTGCTCTCTTATTCTATAGTTTGACTTTACCGAGTTTTATATGTAGTTTGTTTTTATACTTTTGTTTTTGCCACAGTACAGGAGGTGGAACTTATCCTCGTTAACCACTGTGCTGCACGGCTTTAAAATGACATTCCTGATGTGCACCAAAAACAAATTCTTTGCAAAAAATGATTTTCTCTTGTTAAAATGCAGTCTGATCAGGGGAAACTAATAATGTCTTCTTCTAAAATAATGCCTTCTCTTGCTAAAACATCGTGGTATGTAGAGTTGGGGATGTTTTCATAGTGGTATTCTTTTGCTTTTATTTGCCTGGCTCCTCTTGTATGAAAAGCTGGATGGCCTTTGTTCAAATATTCTTCTTGAGCTCTTGCAGAGTTCTGGGTGGAAAAAATGTGCAGGTTTTGGTATATTTACCTGTACTGTACTAAGAAGATTTCTACACTTTTTGGGGTGATTGTATTTTCATGTTCCATTTCTTCTTTCCAATATCCCACATTGTTTGCATTCACTTATTCAAATTCCCAAAAACTGAATACAGTACATACTGCATTTGGGCTATCTGGCCAAAATTGGTGTGGATAATTATCTGCCAAAGTTTACCCTATCCAAACAGAAATCCGGATAACTGGAGATTTGGCTGGATAGTGCAGACTGGTACATTGTTTGTCAAGAATAATTTTGGAAAATTAAATTATCTTTAGCAATTTTGGCATATCCAGACAAATTTGGATAACCAGAGGGTAGCTTATATAAATTTTCAAGAACTGCACATTTCAAGATCAACAGTGTCAGACAAGATGACAAATTAAAAAAGGTAAGCTGAAGTTTCTTTTAAATTATATTTTTGATTTATAGGGCCTGACAGCAAGCTGTAAGTGGTAAGTATATACAGTAGTAAGTTTATAGTAAGGGGCCTGACAGGCGAGTGGACAGCGCTTCGGATACGTAGTCCCCAGGTTCTGGGTTCGATCCCTGGTGGAGGCGGAAACAAGTGGGCAGTTTCTTTCACCCTGATGTCCCTGTTCACCTAGCAGTAAATAGGTACCTGGGAGTTACACAACTTCTACGGACTGCTTCCTGGGGGTGTGTAACAAAAAGGAGCCCTGGTCGAGGACCGGGCCGCGGGGACGCTAAGCCCCGAAATCATCTCAAGATAACCTCAAGAAGATAGTGTGGAAACTCAAGTTTTGTTGGATGTAGTACAATAACAGTAAGTTGAGTAAGCCCAACACAAATTTGTGAGCAAACTTAGTATTGCAGCTAGTTACTGTACGTATTTTCCTGCAACCTACATATTCTGCTATACTGTATATATATATTTACTAGTGGGGGTACCCAGCTGCACCTGGATCTCTCATCCCTAACTTTACCCTCTCCTTTCCTCCTCTCCCTCCTTCCTCCTCTCCACCCCCTCCCTCCTTCCTCCTCTCCACCCCCTCCCTCCTTCCTCCTCTCCACCCCCTCCCTCCTTCCTCCTCTCCACCCCCTCCCTCCTTCCTCCTCTCCACCCCCTCCCTCCTTCCTCCTCTCCACCCCCTCCCTCCTTCCTCCTCTCCACCCCCTCCCTCCTTCCTCCTCTCCACCCCCTCCCTCCTTCCTCCTCTCCACCCCCTCCCTCCTTCCTCTTTCCTCTCTCCACCCCCTCCCTCCCTCCTTCCTCTTTCCTCTCTCCACCCCCTCCCTCCCTCCTTCCTCTTTCCTCCTCTCCACCCCCTCCCTCCCTCCCTCCTTCCTCCTCTCCACCCCCTCCCTCCCTCCCCTTTCCTCCTCTCCCTCCCTCCTCTTCACCCCCTCCCTCCCCTTTCCTCCTCCTCTCCCTCTGGGGAGAAGAGGGGGGAGGAAAGTTGGGTAAGTCCAGTCCCATATACAGTATATGACTACATATATATGAAGTTTTTCCAGTGCTCTCTTTGGGGGGGGAATACATTAAATCTTTATGCCTAGTACATCCAAACTAAGATTTGTTTGCTTATTTCTTTAGAACTCATTTCATAAGTTCAAATTATTTGTTGAATTTTGTGAAAGCTGCACTTAAAGAGGTAGCCTCCAAATAAAAATTGCAGTAGTAGGGTTTAATACCTACAATCAATCAATCTTTATACTATTTCCAAGGCCAATGGGGTATGATCATGTAATTCTTTTTGCAGGTTTATGTTCAGAATTTGAGAGTGAAGCAACCTGACCTTCCCCGGAAGTTACTGTGCACTTTTAAAGGTAAAGAATCAAAGAGGTTCACTCGCTGCTTCCATGGATGGGGAGAGTTTAAAACGACAAGAGAATGAGGTGGTCAGCGTGTTCAACAAAAATACTTTTAATAAGTAAAGTTATTTTGTAGGATAGAAATAAGTTGTAGAAGCAACTTATCATTTTAATGATATTGTATCAGTGACATCAACTGATGTGCCTTTATTTTATGCATTTCAAGTCTTCCCAAAATAGGTGCTTGTCTTTTGCCATAATTTAATTAAGTTCACCAAAATTATGAATATTAATCATGCTATTGTCATTTGATGAGCAAGAGTTTATTCCCTAGAGCTGAACACAATAATTAAGATAATACTTTAACTAGTTCTATAACCTGGCTGAAGGCCTAAATCCCAATTAAAGAAAAAAAAAAAATCTGCACACTTATTCATGCCTCTTTTTCACTATTTATTGGCCATATTATGAAAGGCTCAACCAATGGAATTTGTAATGAAACTGCATCTTCTGAGTTAATAGGTTTATTTTTCACTCTGCTTCTATTAGTTGTACATACGAATCACTATGATATCAAGGCAGGGTAGAGTTTGTGGGTTGGTGGCTGAAGTAACTGGGGAGGGTTCGAGAAGGGTAGGACAATTCCTCCTGAATGTCAGGAGTATTAAGGGTTAGGGGGAAGCCATCAATAAACTAGGAATCTTGAGACTTCATCCAAGTCATCCTGGATGACTAGCTTTCCACTAATATTTGAATAGCTCCTTATGAAATACTAGTGTTACCTGACGAACCTGCATCTGACATGCACATTTACTAAAAATGTTCATAGAATGCTGTTTAAGTGCCTTCAGATTAAGTTCTACTAATTGGCTTACAGCTAACAGAATACAAAGAACTTTGTACCTCTTAAAATTCACCAAGAAACACAAGTATTTGTCAAAGTACTACCCATGATCTTTAATATAACTATTATAATCTTTTGGATAAACCAATCCACTATCATAGAATAACACTACAACTGTGTAAAGTCTTTTCTTCCAAGAATTAAGCTTGGCACCTCAGCCTGGTATCACACTTGCCTGCCTGGTGAAAACACTACTAACAAGTACAAAAACAATCTTATCAGATATTTGAACCAACTACCAGCAGGTTGAAGCATCACAAAGTTTGACATCTTTCAAGTTGTAAGGATAAATCTCATCTGCTCGGACCAGGCATGACTGGCCAGATAAGACTATTTTCTATAACATATTCAGTATATGAAGCTGGGTTGCACATCCTCTCACTCCAGCAGCATTGTAATGTTATTGCCTTGTCTATAAGACTTTCACAGCATAATGAAGAAAGTAAAAAGCACACATAATCAAACACACCATATTTTCTTGAAACACTGGGGTTGCCATTGCTTTTGAATCCGTCTCTATAAACAAAAACTAGAACAAGACAAGACCATCTTACCATTCATTTATAAGCAAGACAAAACTGGCTAGCAATCAGGAGTTGCAATACTTGACTACATTTGGTAAGTGGCATACCAAAAGCATGAAGCAAATATGGATATCATAGGTCTAATTGTAAGAAACTGAAACTAACAGAACAGATTAAGAAAAAATTGTCAAAGAATGGTACAGGCTATACTAGTTCCTATCACAGGACAAAAGAAACAAGAAAAACTGGAGTGTTTCTAAGAGGATCAGTTTTCTTTTTTTTTTTAACAAAAGATAACACTTGCGGAGCCTTTACATTTATATATTTTAATAAGATTCTTTGGTAACCAATTTTGAAAGAAAAAAGTGCATAAATGGAACAAGTTTGTATCCAATAAGTTTTTAATAAGTAATTATGTTGAGCTAATTGCCGCAAACTTTTATAAATTGCCTCATCTATAGTATATATTTTTATAAGTCTCTACAGAACCTTTTGTCACTAAAGTATTTCACCTATAGACTCCATTTGCACAGGAAGAAAAATGACAATATATAACGACAACTTTCTGTGGCAGTGTAATAACCAAGCAACACCTGGAGTCATCATAGTTTGCAATCTTCTCGTATATGAATATTAAAACTGTCACCTTTGCCCAATTTAATAATTCTCATCCCCAAGAATTGATTAAAAACAATAAAGGTCAAATTAAACATTTTTGTTACAGTAATGTTAAATTTGTAAATTAAAAATTTGAAGGGTATAGAAATTCCTATTAAACAATACATGTACAAATACTGCCATGGTATTTGATTGCTGCTTGTGATGATTCTCGGATATTCATATAAACTATTGCCACCTGCCACAGGTGAGAAAATAACCAGTAATTATATTTACATCATTTTTTTCTGACTACGGCATAATCACGTGTTGTATGTGAATGCCACAATAGAGGACTCTGACACTTTTAACAACTAAAGTAAGACCCTTCTTTGCCACGATAAAGGGTGGAATCATTGTAACATTTGGAGATGACAATTAAAATATAAATATTCCCCACAATTAGGAGCTAACATTTTGATGTGACATGTTAATTCTGAAAAAATCTAGAGTTCTACATTTGTTCTGTTTATGTACAAAAAAGAAAAGGAAGTGTTCCTTCTAACATTTCTTTTTATATGACACTGTCCTTCTCCATACAGATATAGCATTATAACCATTTACACCACATATAGCCTCTCAGACATTAAAGAAAAATAAGGGAGTTTTGACACTATACTACATGTTTATTACAAAGTTCTTAGGGAAACATAACCTCTGCTTTCACAAGCAGATCTAATCACACTTGATACTGTACATATATGGCAGGGTTTCTCTACTCCCACACACTTCACTAATGTACATAAAAATAAAAATGAAAAAAAAAATTCAACTTATTTGTTGAAAAATTAATTCTCCATGTTACCCACTTTAATAATCCCCCAAAGAATATTTAAATTAATCACACTAATTCACATCATCTAAAAACTTGTACTGCACTAGACCATTAAAAAAAATTCATTCGTTCCACTATGACACTTGGTAGCGAGGCCAGACTCACTCGGAAAAGTAATAAAGTACTGTACCAACATTTAATATGGCTATGTCCTATTTTATACCATTCATATTATCATTTTACACAATAAACACCTCAACTAAGTCAATCAAAAAGTAATCTGATGTAGATAAGAAGAAAAGCCAAGTAATATTGTGTACATGCAAGCAATGTCATCATTCTGAAAAAGTGGATGTCCCTTTCATCAAAACTTAAAAATCACTTTAAACAGAACATTCGTTAAACACAGTCATTAACTTCTTCAGAGCAATTAATGGGCATTAAAATGTCATTCAAACATTTACTAATTTGCACAAGTCGCCTCTGAAGCAACCTCCATAATCTCTTCAGGTACATGACAAAAGTCTCAATGGTGTGACGCACTAACACCTAGGCACAGCTGATCCTTGGAACTCTGTATTCTCTCACATCACTGTGACAAGACATGTCATTTGATGTCCACTAATGGAGTACAAAGCCTCCCTGCCAAGAGCTGTCAAATTATGGCATATAACAGGCACTACAGTAGTATCCACTGCACAAGTCTTTCAGTCTTGCACCTTTACCATATGTGTAGATTGTTTATAAACTTTAAACAAATCATCTTTTTATAATCCCTGAAGGAGAACATCTCAAACCTCACTTTTTTTTCCCCCAGTAACAGAGTATAATGTGTGTCAACATACGTGATGCAAGTAATTATCTTTTATAAATCGTAACCGGTTAACTCTGCTTCAAATGAGCGCTATTTTTTTTTTTTTTTTTTTGTGAATTTCACCAACCTGAGAACCACCTGTCTGACTTAGTTACTGGATCACTATTTTAGTTGGCTTGAGAACTGTGACTTGCGTTGCTTGACGTCCACTGCCTAATTGGCTTAAAAACATGTAACTGTCATGGGTTTGGGGGCCTAAGTTACTCATCTTCATATGGAAGTCCATCCCCTTCCATCCTAGGTCGTTTTGTGAGGGGTTCGTGGTGGGAGGCGGCCATAACAACACCCTCTGCCTCCACTACCTCCTCTATATATTCAGTAGTATGGGGAGCAGCAGTCATAGTGCCTACCATCACTGCTGTTCCAGTGCTGGTACTACTGTTTCTCATATTTCCACTGGGACCTGTTATAGTCTGCCCCGCTGTAGTAGTTGTACTCACACGTTTAACCTCTCCATTTACCGTCACATATCCACCACTGAAACAAATAATGTGCTTATGAACAATTAAAAACTAACAAAATTAAATTAAGGTTTATTAATACACACAAACACACCTAATACAGTGATTTCCCAAAGTGGGCAACACCACCAACAATGGGTGCTCAGAACACTGGGGGGGGGGGGGGGAGTAGAAGTGACACAGAACATATATTTTTACAACTCATCATTCTACAGTGTAGTCTTGTAGTGTGAATTCACTTTTAATGTTTTTAGTGCCTTCAATACTAACGAACTGCTTATTAGTTATTATAATAATTATATAAAAAAAGATATTATTTATAATATTAATTAACATTACTAATAATAAATATTATTATTAACAATATTTATAAAATTGGAAAACATAATAAACTGTAGTAAACCATAACATGTACATATCACTAATGCACACACACTGTATAGGTGTATGTCTTCAATTCAAATAGCTGTGTAATACAGTACCTAGATTTTACATTAAAGCAAATGTATATTTTAGGCATTATTTCTGGTAAGTGAATGTTAAACATTTTAAACAATATTTTAGTTTATTAATTTCAAGATAAGAAAGGGGGGATTACTATGGAGTGTTACTTTAGCAACCAGTCTGCCTGTTAGTTCTCTGCACTGTTTTTATCTTTTTTACATGGAACTAACTCTTTTACTATCAATTCAATTTACATTAATAATTTCAAAACAAATTGCAGAGGTAGATAAATCCAAAGAGATATTTCGACAATATAATGATGAATCTCTGAAATGTTGATTTATTAAGGCACAAGCAACCAACTTCTATCAATATGCATAATATGTAGGCAAATTTTTCCAATGAGGCAACAAAGCCTTCCAGATTGATAGATCATTTGAAGCACACTTTGACAAGGTCAAAAAGAATTAATATATATTTTTTCCATCCCTCATGTTACATTTTAAAAGTGCCCAACACTGTCACGCATATTTTCTAATTCTTTGCTACAAAACACAGATGGAACATGTGAATCATACAATATTTCATTGGTAATTTCTAAGCCTGGAAAGTCGCACACATTCAGTGGAAAACTACCAGTCAATTCGTCTCGGCAATAATACAGTACAAGGATGAACTGGCAAAGAATGTGGAAAATATTTTGTGCAACATACATCTTTGTTACTTGTTTGTGCTCTTCATTAAGGATAAAAGTTTGACCAAAGAGTTATTTGCAGGGCAACTAGATACAGATAGTCAGTGTTTCGTGTTGTTGAGCAGTTCTTCAAAATAAGCAAAATTCCACTTACTAGCATACATGCTTGTGCAACTGATGCAGAATATTCAATGATTGGGTGCTATCATGGTTTGTTGCATATTTGAAAAAAGCTGTTACTAATATCGCTGGCATTCATTGCATTATTCACCAACATCTGATTGCAAAAAAAAAAAATCTTAAAAGAATTATCTGCACAGCTCATTACTGCAGTTAAAACATTAAGGCCGATGCTCTCAATGATCAACTATTCCAGAAGCTTTGTTAAAATAATAATGATTTTGGCTTTGCTTGGCTGTCAAAAGGATCCATTTAAGACACCTATGTAATTTTTGGCATTATAATCGGGTTTTTTTTAAATGACTTTTTTTTTTAAATGTTTTTTTTATAATTCCCAATGACTAATTAGGTATAACATTGCCTATATATCAGACCTATTTGCTAAGTTCGGTGAAGTAAATATGCAGCTGCAGGGAAACGAGATCAATCTTTTTAAGGCTTAAGATAGTTCTTTCTTCATTTATTAAAAAAATTACAACATTTAAATGCAATTGAGGCCATTTTAAGATTTACCAATTTCCTAACTGATCAGAACTAGAAAAGGTAAATGGGATACACAACAATGATTTGCATGTTGTGACCATATAAATATGTCACATTAAGAAATTGTTTGAGATTTGAGTGTCTTCTCTTGTTGGATATTCCAAATTGCATCATAAGTTCAATTAAAACTCATACCAAGAATCTTGGTTATAGAGGGAAATTTCTGTTTGCTATCTGCTTTATCATAATTGGTGGAATGCAGTTTTAGTGGCGTCCAACTTCTCTCAAAGCAACAAAATTACTTCACATTACTGAATGGGTGATTTAAAACTCATGCCAGATAACATGAAACCTGACATTGGAAAACAAATACCAAATTATTAAGCTCATCTATCACTTTTAACAGTGCTGACTAGACAGGGATTTAAGTCTGCAGTATCTTTGACTAACATATTTATTTTTACCACTTAGTTGCCTTTCAGACTGTGAATCTGGTGTATTGGATTTTGAAATAATGTGCAAGTATATTAACATTACCATTATAAATTTTGTTTTATTACTATTTCCTTAGTGGACCACATATATTGTTGTTGTAAATAATGAGTTTTATGGTGGGTAGGAGCACTATTGACAGCCACTGTACAGTGGTTAGAATACCTGTCTGTTAAGCCTTGTGTTACGGGTTTGATTCCTGGTAGGCAAATGTGTGTGATTGGACTGGTTTCAGAAGTGCAAAATTGATCACTCTTCCGTCTGGTTTAAAATATCTCATAATTACACCATTGAAGGTATAAAATGGAGAAGAGGGCATGGGAGATAGGTTTATAGAACCAAGGAGGTGGAACTACAAAAATGTTTTGGAATCACATTCATCATATAAAAATGATGACTTGCAAATATTTCACAATAAAATCTACTGCAGCACCCCTTTACACATACCATACTTCATAGCTATCTCAAGTTCATTCAATCACTTAAATATAAATCATTCACCTTACAAATAGATATTACCTGTACCTATTATTTTCCTCTATATATATATTACAGTACACCTGAAAAATAAATAGAATTTGTATTTCAAATACAGTTACCCGATGCTTTGTAACTTCATGACTCCTTTTTCCATATAGGCAAATGATAAGAACAAAGTGGCAAGGAAGCCCGACTGTCACATCCAACCATTTTTCATAGCCTCTTGGAACCTTCCTGCCAGATTTCAGCTTTTTCACTAACTCACCTTACTACAGATACATCACCTGTCATACAATCCTGCATTTTTCTCACATTGTCAATTCTAATTATATTCACATTGTACCTATTTCATCACTTCCATCCATCATTAAATTTTTAACGAGGCATAATTTGTTTGCATAATCAACTATTGATGTTACAATACACACAAAAAAAAAGTTTACTTAATTTCAGTTTGTAATCTGTTTACAGATTTAAAACAACAGTTTTGGAAGCAAAATGTTGTGAATTAATTATCTTGGGTATAGCGACAAAAATAAAATTGGATTAACAATGTTAGGAGCACGGGATGTTTCAGTTTACAAAAAAGTGTGTAAACATTTCTGCATTATACACCTATTCACAGACACATGACCTTTATTTTTATATATATGTGAGTATATTACTTATCTACAGTGCTGCATAAATAAGTGATATCAAGTAGAGACAAAAATGTATAACCAACGTTGGGTGAAAGTTAGTCATCAAGATGCACAAATACAATTAAGTGAAATCAATGATATGAAAAAAAAACTTGTATTATTTGTTGCCAAAGTTCTTTAGCAATATTCTCCTAGTAAAAATTAGTAACTTAATATTGGTACACAAATTTTGTTTTATGTATTATTGAACTCTATTGGCATGCATTAGTTTGGTAACAAGGTTCTTTGGTTCTTTCAAGTAGCATAGTCAAAGATAATGTCTACATTTTTGAAGAATAGGCCGATAAAGAGTAAAGATGGGTGTAAATGAGACCTGCCTGATATGGGTCAGCAAGTCTACTACTCTGTTCTCATGACATGACTATGTTGTTTCATATTCTTCTTACAAGTAAATAGTTAAGTTTCTGAAGAAATAATGGGGGTTCAAAAAAGTGAACAAATAAATAAATGCACAAAATTTAATGTCATGTACTCAACAAATGATTTCATCAATATTTACTCTAACTTCATTAGCAACTTACCCATATTTGGTGAGATGTGTGGGTAAAATAACCTGAGTGTGAGTGAAGGAGCTGGGATCTGCTGATGTCTGGACTATGACCTGCCCTTGGGTGAAAGAGGTACTCTCTCCATGACCACCACTGGTTAGTTGAATTTGTTTAAGTTCTCCCGGCTTCCCAGATCCTGCCCCACTAGGACCCCCCGCTGTGGCTATCAGGTACTTGCCTGAGAAGGAAATAATACTATCACTTCAGTACACATAACAAATGACCAATGGTTAATATCAGGTGTTCAACAAATCATATAAAACACAGCTTTCTGCAAAGACCAGCAATTTCTTATGTCTTTCTACATTATCCTTCCTTTCCCATGTGTCGTTAATTTAAAAGCTTTATAAACTTTCATTCAATGCCTCAACCATCATTACATTTTATAACAGTTTTATAATCTCTACATGCATTAACTAGTCTGCTATTTATAATTCAATCATAACTATTCCACAACTCTGATTCCAACTCTGCACATGGAAGTAACATCACATGAGACTAGGAGGCATGGCAGGATATGCAGAATAGCTCCATTGAAAAGCAGAGGTGCAATAGGTATGCTGAGAGACAACTATCAACATCAAAGGCCCAAGACTTCAACACACTCCCACTACAGATACGGGGCATAACTGGCCAGCCTCTCACAGTGTTCAAAAGAAAACTCGATAAACACCTCCAAAGGATATGTGATCAATCAGGTTGTGATTCATACATCAGGCTGCGAGCAGCCGCACCCAACAGTGTGGTTGACGTGACTACCAACCAAGAGGCCTGGTCAGAGACCAGGACGCTGATCCTCAGAATCACCGCAAAGTAACCAAGGTAGGCCCTGTGAATTTATATGTACCATAATTTCCTTTATAAAGTGGTATGCTTCAAATGATTAAAGAGATTCAGATATTACCAACAGTTCTTTCAAGGAAAAATCCTTTAATGTTTACAACCGTATGCCAATGATAATCCCATGGAGTCCAATGGAGTGTGATAAATTTATAAAAATAGGTATAAATATAAATGCATTTTTGTGATGGACAGCAAATAAACTACAAATGTCAAATGGTATTTACCCAGATAATGTGAGAAGGAAACAAAAGTCAAACTAGAAATGTGAGCTTCTAAGAAAACACAGAAATTGTGTGATAAAACACAGACTGGCATCCATGCTTTAAGTGTGATCAAATGGGACACAGACAGCAATGTTGAGCCTTGAAATAACTCGCAATCAGACCAATGGAGGTGCAGACCTTGATAACAAAGAAGCAATACATAATAGAACTAATAGCCTCTCAGCGTACCATACGTGGATGCAACAATAATAATTATGCAACAGAGGCTAAAATCGTAGTCGTCCTAATACAAATCTCAATAAAGGTATAGGCTAGATCTAATTGTGGAACTACCAGCTGCCAGTTACAGTAAAAAGTGACCAACACAGAAGCAAGGTAGGAGATTTGTTCAGTCAGTGGGTCGATTAATTATAACTAAAGGGAACAACTTTGATTTGACTGAGTATAACAGGATGTAATGCACACATTGAAGCATATTATTATGAAGAGACCAAACCCCTAATAAATATGTAAAATGGCTAAAATAAAATGGAATTTATAGCAGGTTGTCAAATAAGACCAAAATATTATTAGATTTGGCAGAGCTCAATGCATCTAAATGGAAAAAAGTGCATGCCAGTAACTGATTCTGAACTAATATATGATATGGTTTTTATTGATCCTTAATTAAATTATATAAATAACTTCTATGATGATATAGTTTGCTTGATCTGTTAAACCCTTGTCCTAACTAGGGAATTTAGCTATAATGGAGATTCATAATTAAATATAAGTTTCCCATTTTGATTTTGGCTAGCCCATTGAGACACATCATAGCCACAAGTGACATTAGAGCAAACCTTTGTTGCGTCAGGAAACGTTTGGCAGGCATAATATTCCAACACAAGTGTGGGTCTCCAAACACAGTTCTTTATTTCCTAGTATGCAATATATATATATATATATACGTACCTGTACTGTTAAGTACAAAATCTCTAATGGCTAAGAATTTAATTTCCATTAAAAAAGATACAGGTAAGGATGCACTCACCTTGTAAGGCAGACATGAGCTGCTGGGAATTTTGGACACTGACACCAGTTGTACCTATTAATGTGGCACCTGCAATAATATTTAAAACTATCAAACAATCATCTTGCATGTTACAAAGTTTGATAAATATTCCTCAAACTTAATTTTTTAATCTGACATTTAATTTCAAATTGCTGACAATACACAATGAGATCATATTAAAGATCTAGTAAACCTAACCAACCTTGTTGGTGGTGAGATGGTGGTGAAGGTGGTGCACTGGTCGTGTTGACATCATACTGTGCAGCAGTATTTAGGGGATTAAGGGGAGATGCTGTGGCTGAGTCCACGTACTCAGGCACTGGTGACCCTTCCCGTGACAATGACTCTGGAGTTACCAGCCCGCTCATACCAATATGTGATGGAGAGGCTGGTGCAGATCTGCTGTTCAATGATAAAAGTAAAATTCAACAATCAGTGTCACAAGTCAAAAAATAAATTCTAGAACAGATGCTTTGAGAGTAATGAAATGCCCTTTCTGGATGGGTCTTGGTAGTTTCCTGAAGCTAGCCACACTGGGAAAGCTCCATACATAAGTCACATCAGCCCCAAGAGTCCTTAATAGCCTACTGGAGACAAGAGCCAGAACCTGGCTACCCTTCAGAGGCACAGGGAGCAGGGATTCTTTACAATCACATCCACCAAAGGAAACATTATAAAGTAAGTGAAGCAAAACAGACAAGAGCAAGACTCGCAGAGAAAAGTGAAATGATGCAGCAGACTTCACAAACGATCTACCCAGTAGTCAGTTTGAGCCCCATAGCTACAGCTGACAAATGCCAGTTGGCAGCACCACTGGGAGCTGCTGACTCCTATGTCAACACTATTCAGTCCAGAGCCTAATACCACCAACTAACTTAGCTGGCAGGGAACAGAGGGGACAAGGGAGTCACTAAGACCCAACCAAAAGGAGGCATTTCATTACATTCAATGCTGGTTTTCTAGAAGTGCTGAATGTTGGCTCCCTGAAGCTAACGACAGATAATAAGACAAAAGAAACTTACTAGGTAGGAGGAGAGTAAAGATTAAACTCAAAGAAGAGAACCCAGCTCAGGAAACCAAACTAAGAACAACAAGCCCAAAGGGGCCTAGGTAACAAGCCTCCAGGACTCGGTTAGACCTCCAAAACCCGAGCTTGGAAATTAGAATATATTTAGAAAAGACTATGGACACAGCAGTACACTTTTGAATATCATGGGGGCAAGGGTAGACTACAGGCCAGCTGGACTTAATGACACTACGGACAACTGAAGATGAACAAGCTTTGGAACAGGGAGTCATGGAAACATTAACAAACAACATGTCCCCCAAAGTGGTCTGGGTGGCATACAGGTAGCGACGTACAGCTGCAACCAGACATAGCAAATGATGCACCTCCTGCCCAACAAATCATGAATAAAAAACCAAAGGACTCCTCAGGAAGCCAACCATACCATTCTTTGCTAGAAAAGAAGGCAACTGCAAACAAAGAAACTGTTTTCCAGGCTCAAAGGAACAGAACCCCCACCTCCAGAGGAGAGCATAAAGCTCCCAAGCAGACAACTGGAAGCAACAGCCAGCAAAATCAGAGCTTTGAAGAAAGGATTATGGACCAAAAGAAGCAACTGAGAACTGAGGGAATGAAAGAAAGACCAACAACTGATCTGGAGACCAAAATGGCTAAGAAGGAGAATGAGCAGACCAGAGGTTACAAGCACATAATATAACTTATGGAATGACACTGAGGAAGTATCAACAGTGAATGCCAACAAAAGCGGCTCTGCCAAGGCTGAGCAGCAGTAATAGGCATAAGATGCTGATCAAGAAACCACCAAGAAAAAAAGGACAAAACTATCGGTAGCAAACCAAAGGACAATTGATAAAAGGTAAACGAAAAGACAAAAAAGAGCACCAATAACCTTGTACTGTTGCCATGGCAAGACACACAGGTGGGACACTAACAACTTGCCTACCTATGCACCATACAAATGGTGATAGATCTGCATCAAATATCAAAACGCGAAGATCTGAGGAGAACGCCAGGACATGTGAACCAACCAGGAACATTTACTGACCAATACTATAAACAGAAAGGAGGAGACATGGAATATGCTCTGATTCAGGCACAGAACCGGAATAATAGGCCATCAAGAAGCCAGAAGGATTACATTGTCTGGTCACTCCCAAGGTGCTGCCACCTGTTAGTTGGCAGCTGTAACTAGTGGGAAGGAAAGAACTGCCTACTGAATGGATCATTTGCAGAGTCGTTTGCTGCTTCATTTCTCTTTTCTCTGTGAATTTTGCAGTTGGTTCTTGGGGAGTAGAAGAACTCCCAGAACCCCATCAACCAGGTTGGCTGCTTTGCTTTACTTACTTTCTGTAAGTTTCCATTGTTAAGGATGATCATAAAGCATTCCCTACTCCCTGTGCCTCCTTGAGGGGCCCAGATTCCGACTCTGGTCACCAGTAGGCCATTAACGACTCCTGGGGCTGTGACTTGTGTGGTGCTTTTCCAGGGTGGCTAGCTTCAAGAAGCCACCACGGCCCAATCAGAAAAGGCACTTCTCACAAAGGTTACAGACTACGTAAGTAATTTTACATAGTGTTTTATAATTGGGCAACAGTATATTAAGGTTCCCAACCAATGGGCTTGGTTGTCCTAATTTTTTCCAATCAGAAATAAAAGTACAAAACAAGATATTCACAAAATACATATTAAGACAGATGGACCACTTTACAGCAAAAATATGTTGTTTAAACACATACTGATTTCCGATTAATTACTGGCCACAATTTTCTACTAAATAAGACCTTTATAAATGAGAAGAAAAATAAATAAAACAAATCACTCCTTTTTATATACATCTCAACCACTTTCCTAGCTTATACTAGAGACCTGAAGACTTGGCCTTCATGCCAGCTTCTGAGCAACCTTATGCCTCAAGAGACTAGCATCTGGTCCCCAGCAATACAGGATACTCTCCAGGTAATCTGGGTTATTCTTCCAGCTATGCCAAGCTGTTGTTCATATTATTTATTCATTATGCTACACTGGAAATTTGTTCATCTCATCAGTTTACAGCCTTGAACGCTGAAAAATATGCAAATAAGAAACGGCATTTTTGAAGGTATCCATCTATCCAAATGGCTTACATTAAACACACACAACCACCTATACATTCAAATTCAGACTTTTTCTCACTCTGTAAAATGTTTGCAATGTCTTGTTAGCATATTACATATGAACTCTCTTTCCATGAAAGGATAGCCTTTTGTAGAATTCTCCAACCACATTTCAATGCCTTCAACAAATAAAACAATATTTATTTTGAATTGCATAATATATTCCATTATTATATCCTAACAGTTTATATCCTTATAGTTTATAGTCCTCTCTAATTTCTCAATGATGTTTACAATATTACTGTTGACCTGTCTACTCTTTTTCAAGGTCTTCGATAAATGCAACATTCTAGGACTGGTCAAAGCAAAAGTTATAATTTCAATCTGGAAGATTATTTAATTAATCACAAGTTAAAAGATTGTTGAATTTTACAGAGGTACACGTGAAGCAGAACCCACAATTTGCATGCACATCTCTTATAACCTTGCCTATGTGTACAGTGACCTTCCATGAAAATATAATACACCCTTGGCTTACTCCCAACTTATCTCAAAGACAATCTAATATTACTATCATATTCTCTAAACTTCCTTAGGTTTTCATTCTCCCAATATTAGTTAATATTGCTTATGAAAATTTTATGTGTATTCTAGATGCCATTACCTGCATAGTACAATACAATTAATAAAAAATTGACAAACCTATTAGAGAGGTGAGTAAAGGGAGTCTTAAAAATAGGAACGCCTCGTTGTCGCCGCCGCTTAAATGCTTGGTCTACTAATTTACTCTCTGACGCTGGATCAATTTTCCAGAAGCTGCCCTTCCCTGGCTCCTCTTGAGAACGTGGGACTTTGACGAAGTATCGATTTAATGACAGGTTATGCCGGATAGAGTTCTGAGGAAGATATGCAAATTAATACTAAAGACTTACAATACTCTTGTTTTTTGTGACAAAGCAAAAATATCTGAAACAAGTAAACACAGCAAATAGCTACAATGGATTTGTTCAGCATAGTTAATTTCATGAGCAAAGTAAATAAGTAGGATGCATACAATCAATATGGGAATTAGCTCAGCAGAGTTAATGATTAAGATAATTATTTTGTCAAAACTTAGTAAACATTACATTTGGATAAAATAACAATCTTAGAATATTTTGTAATTATGGCTCACCCATATTATCATTATGCACCTCAGTTATGTCAAATATCACATTACCATTCAGAAATGTAAAGGCACCAGGTATAAATGTTTAAGAGTTTGGACGCAAAGAGCTACAGTGTACCTCTCACCACATGCAGACAGTAATTGCCAAGTACTGTATTCGGCTTAATATATCTTAATGACATTTCCACTATGTACATCAAATGTCTTAGCTACATCACCACTTAGCACTTCAATTATGTCTCAGCCCCAGTATTACATTGTATCCCCCTTTTATGTCTCAACCACAGTATGACATTGTACCCCAATTATGTCTCGGCCACGGTATGACATTGTACCCCATTATGTCTCAGCCACGGTATGACACTGTACCCCAATTATGTCTCAGCCACAGTATCACATTGTACCACAATTACATCTCGGCTACAATGCCAACCGACACGAGACATCATTTAAGGGTTAAACCAGGTACGTATAGAAGATAGGATAGGAAAGGAAAAACAAATCATGTGAACGTAAGAAACTTGCCCATATAACATTCAACTTTCAACACTAACCTAAAGAAAAACATGAACATTTTTATTTATATTTTTAAACCTGCTAGAACAAACCTCCAAAGTAATCAGGCAAACTAACCAACAAGTTAAATGGAATCAGTTCAAGACAAATTGAAGAAAATTGAAAGACTAGATGTAAGAATAAGGATAATATTCTCAAAGTACTAAAGTAGTAAAGTAGTCAAGCGCTCTGGATGGTATAAAATACATTCTGCATACAATATTCAAATTATCACAAAATCTAACAAGGAAATAAAATATTTCAAGAAAATAATATTAATTACCTATAAATTGAGGGGAGACTGGATTGTCCCGTGTGAATTTGTAAATGTTAAAAATAAACTGTTAATGCAGCTAATACCCCATACTTTTTGTTAAATTCATGATAAAATAGGTAAATCTTGTTACAGTACCTGCCACCCTTTGTCAGCTGTCCGATAGTATGGGTAGTGCTTTGTGATGTATGAGTATATACCACTCAGCGTTAGCTGTTTGTCTGGGGCTGAAGAAATTGCTTGAACAATCAGCTGAGCATAGGAATACGGAGGTTTGGAATCATCCTGGGGATAACAAAATATAAGAAAATAGTAAGAGCATACACTAGTTTATAAGAAGACTTTACATTCTTAGTGTTATAGGATCAAACAGCAGGGGATATTTTACATCATGTATTATCTCTTGAATCCTTCCATGCAAATATGATAATACCTATGGTAAATTTAAACCAAAGCCAATCACTGAGATGAACCCACAAAATTCTTATTTCTTTAATTCATAAGATATAATCAATGTTAATGTTACAATACCTTGGCACCAGCACTAGGAGGACTGTGTGGTTGATCAGGAGGATGCGGCGAAGTGAAGTATCCATCGTCTGCTATAGACGCTTGGATACCGTTGTGGTGGTACTGCTGATTTGATTGAGTCAAATTTATTTGATTCTCTTCATGTGTTGTTGATACTGTTACTGTAGATAAAGAAACTGCTAAAGTTAAAATAACATCCATTTTTTTTAATACAAAGTACAATAACTATATTATATATCTCCTATCTCTGTCTCACACACACAGGGCCCGGGTTCGTCCTAAGGGCCCGGGTTCAATTCCCGGCCAAGGCGGAAACAAATGGGCAGTTTCTTTCACCCTGATGCTCCTGTTCACCTAGCAGTAAAGAAGTACAGTACCTGGTAGTTAGACAGATATCACATGCTGCTTTCTGGGAATATGTAATTACCTAAGTATAATTACCTAAGTGTAGTTACAGGATGAGAGCTATGCTCGTGGTGTCCCGTCTCCCCAGCACTCTTTGTCATATAACACCTTGAAATTATTGACGGTTTTGGCATATGAACTTCATTTTCACATATTTAGAATACAGGTACTGTATAGGTTTTCAGTATTATTTACTGTAAAAAAAAATTGTCAATATGGCATTTGAAATATGCGCATATTTAGACAACAAAAATTTATAACTCCAACCATTTAGAGTTTATGAAAAATCAATTCTATAGAGACTGCAGAACAGACAACTATGCACACTATGTGTAAAAATGGTGAGAATCGATCAGAAACTAGATTTTTAGATACTGAAGTTGAAATTCTAGTTATAGATATAATTGAGGTTATCTACAATGAATAAGGCAGTTTTGATTCATGAATTTACTTCTATGTTTAAATAAACATTGTGTGGCATTCGTACAGGAATATGTGACATTGTAGGTCAATGTGTGTTGAAATGAAGTCAAGAAAAAATAACCTCCCCCCGCCCCTCAAAAAAATATAGGGATAATTATAATAATTATAATGATTTAGGGGATATATTTAGGGTATACTTTATGTAAGTTAAAAAAGTCCTAATCTGGTCCCTAATCATCAAAACAACCTAAAGAAAGAAGGAAAATAGAGTTTGAAATCTGTGAAAAAAAAGAGCGCCCCAAAAAATTCAGTCCTAAGTTCTGAGAGTTTTGACTGATTTATTTGTTGACCAATTTAATTCTGTCTTCACATAGTTAGGGACGAGTATGCACTCTCCAGGATGTAAAGGTTACGATAAATTCAAATAATAAACACAGGAGGAAAAAACTAAAACCTAAAAAAAAAAATATTCCCCTAAAAAAATTTTTCTTGGATATTGTTGAAAGTAACTGATAACAACATTGGGCAATGTATTTATGATATATAGTATAACAAAATAGAGCATAATAACATACTTACTCATCATTTGTGTTATTATGTATTATTCACCAATGCTAGAAAGGCACCAGCTGCATATCCATTTTGTGGACGCTTCTTACTACTATTCTTCTTTTTTGTGCATCGGACAAGTGCTTGCATCTCTTTATTATTACTTTATTCGTCAGTTTCAGTTAATAGAAGCTGTTCTCCTTATCAACAAAACTTTTTTTTTTTTTTAATATTTGTCTAAAATCAATTTCTGAAAAAATTTTCATGAAAGTTTCACAACACTGAGGCCAATAAGTTGGAGATCTGTTTAACATTTTTAAGTAACTTTTACATAATTCGAATGTTTTTCACTTTCGGGCCCCCTTATGCTGAGCAGTTTAAGCGTTAAGAAGCACGTCAACAAACTGGAAAAGGTGCAAAGACATGCCACTAAATGGCTCCCAGAACTGAAGGACAAGAGCTATGAGGAGAGGTTAGAGGCATTAAATATGCCAAAACTAGAAGATAGAAAAAAGAGGCGATATGATCACCACGTACAAAATAGTAACAGGAATTAATAAAATTGATAGGGAAGATTTCCCAAGATCTGGAACTTCAAGAACAAGAGGTCATAGATTTAAACTAACTAAACAAAGATGCCAAAGAAATATAAGAAAATTCCCTTTCGCAAACAGAGTGGTAGATAGTTGGAACAAGTTAGGTGAGGAGGAGGTGGAGGCCAAAACCGTCAGTAATTTCAAAGCATTATATGACAAAGAGTGTTGGAAAGACGAGACATCACAAGTGTAGCTCTCATCCTGCAACTACACTTAGGTAATTACAAATGTTCAAGAACAAACAATTACAGGCACAAATGTCATAATGTAATCAGTTTTGTGACTTTAATTACCTGTATTTGCTATGTCACCTTTATCCTCCATGGCAGCATATGCAGCCTGGACCAAGTTCTCTGCATTGACCCCTCTCTTTATTCCTGCCAACCCACCATGGCCTCCTCGCGGAGATGTGGGACAGCTGTTGGCTGCACTGTAATGAGAAAACAAAATTCGTGCTAAAATTTCAGTTAGATAATACATTATTAAAAGCACTGATATACCCAAGAGTACAAATAGCATACAGTACTGTACATCTACTGTACTGCACTTCACCACCAACTTCACGTTGACAACAATATTTAAGAATGATTACAAAAGACATCTTAAAGCTAATCGTGTAGGTATTGGTAAAATGTGAAGTTTCTGATTCACAGCAGTGAAACAGGAGGGGCTAAGGCTGTCTGTCATTTTTCACTGGATATAATTTGATAGCAGAATACTCAACATGCATATATTCACTGAAATTTTGAACCATCAATCACATATGATTTGAGATCAAGTGGGTAAAACTCAGTCAGCCAATAATGGCTGCCAGAAAGCTGCAAGAAAATTACCAAATAATTTATCAAAATAACATTGAAATGGAAAGAAAATATAAGCAGTAGTTACTAAGAACTATATCCCATTTACATATAACAATGTCTGTTATTGGTTATCATGAAAACTTACCACTAATCACAGGCTTTCTGGAATGAATTAATACTATCAGGTGTGTGTTTATAAAGTCTATGACCTGTAGTTACCCTTCAGTAATCCAACAATGATGCCAAACTTCCATAGACCGGTGATAAACAACTGCCTACACCCAGGCCGAGTCAACCAGTTATAACCAAGCTAGAACTTCGGGAGTGTTATAATTGGACTACAGCTTCTGTGGCAGAAACCATGAGGGACTCACAAAGCTAAAGTAAGTGCCCATTACGAACCAGCTAGATTCATTCTTCTCATGCAATGCTGAGCAAGATGGTTGTGTTTCAAGTACAGTAAAGGCAAAGCTTAGTACATCTTGCTAGCATGAGCTTAAAATTAACCCTTCAGTGACTTTCAATCACAGTCCCTGATAGTCCTAATAATGCTACCATACTATTGTATTCCCCACCCAAGAACAGAGAATACTTTGGTTCTATGAAGAAGACAGACCACACACTAAGAAAAGTGTCCCACTACCAACAATGGTGCCGAGGAGGAGGGGTTGGGCGATGACTGGGCTGCGGGGAAGCAAAGCCTCGAAACCATCAAAAGTAAGGTACCACACTTTGGGATTGTGAAGCAGACTTGGTGTATCAGTACTTAAGCAGTAATGTTCTGTATGTACCAAGGAGCTGCCACTCTGTTGAAGAATCTGCATGCAAAGCTGACCTTCCGCTTTGAGTTTCCACCAAACTTGGGTTGTGCTTAGTTGCTATTCACCACTATCATATTAGTATTGCATGTTCAACCGCTGCCTACTTGCTGTGTGTCAAATTGATTTTATGCATGTAAAGAGGCTCTAAAGCACAAGCAACTGAGGCTCTTGGGTTTTGGAATATTGAAAGTGAGATCAAGTATCACCAAGTTAGCAACCTGTTGCATAGTTGCACTATCAGCAATTCTAGTTGTTAAGACAGAATGTGTACTTGCACACACTTATGAACACCAAAGGAAACTTACATTTGCTCTTTTGGGATAAGAGCTGTGGCATTAGGTGATATCTAACATGGGATAAGAGCTATGGCACAAGGTGACACCTAGCATCTAGGTACTAGTATTCCAGTCATCAGAAGTAAAGCTAATCAAGAAATATCATAATTTAAATATGAAAATTATAAGAGTTTACTGGTTTCAAAACTGTGCACTGAAATAATTCCTTACGAGACCAGTAGGCATGCCATAATGTGCCATAATAATACTGTGGTCTTGTGTGAAGTGGCATCCAAAATTCTGATAGACCAGATTCCCTACCAGAAGGCCTTTGATTATTGCCACCGGAGGCGGCTAGTTTATTGTGCACCCTATACCAATCCTGTGAGCGGTAGCGCAAAAAGCATTACAGAGGGGAAAAAAAGGCCTTTATCAGACCTCATCTTAGATTATTACATAAACAATTTCATCCTTCCCAAGGCCTTCACACCCAGAAGGCCTTGGGAAGCCATGTCAGAAACCTAATAATATGGGGCACTGATCAGTAGAACCATAAGGAGTACAGTACTGCCTTAAGTTAATTGTTTATAGACTGCTGTATTAAAGGAGGGTGGGGTGGTGGCAACGGCAGTAGATGAGGGTGGTAATGGTGGCAAAAGGTGTTCGTGGAAGTAAAATGGTTGTGACGGGGGAGGGTTATGGTAATGACAGGAGAGAGTAGTTATGGTGGTGACAGGGGGAGAGTTATGGTGGTGACAGGGGGGAGAATTATGGTGGTGACAGGGGGGAGAATTATGGTGGTGACAGGGGGGGGGGGAGAATTATGGTGGTGACAGGGGGGGGAGAATTATGGTGGTGACAGGGGGAAAGAGTTATGGTGGTGACGGGGGGAAAGAGTTATGGTGGTGACAGGGGGAGAGAGTTATGGTGGTGACGGGAGGGAAAGAGTTATGGTGGTGACGGGAGGGAAAGAGTTATGGTGGTGACAGGGGGGGAAAGAGTTATGGTGGTGACGGGGGGAAGTTATGGAGGTGACGGGGGGGGGGGGGGGGGAAAGAGTTATGGTGGTGACGGGGGATAAGAGTTATGGTGGTGACAGGGGAAAAGAGTTATGGTGGTGACGGGGGAAAAGAGTTATGGTGGTGACAGGGGAAAAGAGTTATGGTGGTGACAGGGGAAAAGAGTTATGGTGGTGACAGGGGAAAAGAGTTATGGTGGTGACAGGGGAAAAGAGTTATGGTGGTGACAGGGGAAAAGAGTTATGGTGGTGACAGGGGAAAAGAGTTATGGTGGTGACAGGGGAAAAGAGTTATGGTGGTGACAGGGGAAAAGAGTTATGGTGGTGACAGGGGAAAAGAGTTATGGTGGTGACAGGGGAAAAGAGTTATGGTGGTGACAGGGGAAAAGAGTTATGGTGGTGACAGGGGAAAAGAGTTATGGTGGTGACAGGGGAAGAGAGTTATGGTGGTGACAGGGGGAGAGTTATGGTGACAGGGGGAGAGTTATGGTGGTGACAGGGGGAGAATTATGGTGGTGGTGGTGGCAGCAGAGGTGGGTTGAATGGTCGTGGGTAGCAGCAACAGAGGTAGTTGGTATTGGCAGCAGAGTGGGGTGGTGGAGCAGCCAGTCCTCCTAAAGTTTCTCAGTCAAGTAATTGTCGTACTAAATAAAGTGCCCTTATCCTAACTACAGGGGATCCAAAACAAACAGCAGGGCAGAATGTCAATCTCGCAAGCCGCTACCATTTTCTAGTATGACGTTTTTTGGCCTTAGGTATATGTCAAAATGTGACGTCCTATTAGAAGGAAAGGTTGGTGGTGGCAGAAGTGGTGAGTGCTTCAGCAGCAGAGGGGGATGGCGACGGTAGTGGTAGCAGCAGAGGTGGGTGATGGTGGCAACATACCTGGAGAGGGTTCTGCGAGTTCTTCTACTTCCCAACCCCCTCCCGGGGCCACGCTCGACTTGTGATAACTTGGTCCAACAGGCTGTTGCTTGGAACGGCCCGCAATCCCACATATCCACAACAGCCTGGTTGGTCTTGGCACTTCTTGCAAGAATCTGTCCAAGTGCTACTTTAATACATCCACCTTTGTTCCGGCAATATTTCTAATGTTTGCAGGGAGCTGGAAGTGCAGTTGTTGTGACAGGGAGAGATGGTTCCATCTCCCAGGAGTGTGGAGCGCGTCAAAGTAACTGGGCCTCCACTCTTCAAACAGAATTGGTTGCCATAATCCTTGCACTCTAGCACGTATATGAATCCAAAGTTGCCACGCTAATTGTAAGTGACTCCTTGTCATCCTTGACTGCCCTCAGCTCCCCAAGGCATAACTGTGACGTGCTTACCTCTGAAGCTAGACATGGATATAATGAAATAATCAATGATGGAGTCAGAGTTTGTCGCCTGTGGATTCCTTCCCATATTGGTCTCCGAATGCATGATAGAACTGATGAGTTGGCCAAGACCTTTGCTTGTAAAGAGAGAATTGATTACCAACTTGGACTGCCTTTGAGCAGCCTGAGGGCAGCAATATCCCAGGAACATCAACTAAATTTCGGAGACTTGAGGCAAAGTGAAATTTACACCAGTTACTCCATCTATCATCATTCTATTATGCAGGAAGAACCGCACGTCTATGGGTCATCCAATAATGTTAGCAGACATCTAGATGTTACCACTGCTAGGCTTAGCCTCGGCTACAAGTACCTCTGGGAATTTGTAACATCTGCTGATGTAGATTTGACTAAATGTAAACTCTGCCAGCAGAACTATTCGCATACTTTGCGTCATTACAAAATGGAATGTGAAAAAATCGGGGAATTTAGAGATAACATAAATAGTGTCCAAGAAATGTGTAAGCACTTCATTCATAATGATGTGCTGCCCGAAATCTTAGCGAAGTATCCAAAATTTGCTTACTGTAGGTAATTCATGCACATGACTGTAAAGCTGCCGCCCAGTTGGGTGGGTGTGGAGCACATGACTGTAAAGCTGCCGCCCAGTTGGGTGGGTGTGCAGCAAGACTAGTAACTGTGTGACTCCCCATAGATGTAAACTGCCTTGTATAGTGATTGTTGTGAGCTTCTTGTTGATCACTTGTGACACAAAAGATTATTGATGTGTGTTCTTGTGTGGGTGATTAAATATGTATATTTATGTGTGTGTGTGTGTGTGTGTGTGTGTGTGTGTGTGTGTGTGTGTGTGTGTGTGTGTGTGTGTGTGTGTGTGTGTGTGTGTGTGTGTGTGTGTATAGGCATGGGGTGCATAATAAAGAAAGAAATTGAATTGCAGGGAGGGTGTTGAACCGCTGTGAACCCCTGATGTTCAGACATTGTTCTCTGATTGTGCCTATGGGACCTCTAATCCTCGCTGGTTCTATTCCGTATTTCCTTCCGTATCTTTCGCTCCAGTATGTTGTTATTCTACTGTGCAAATTTGGGACCCGGCCCTCCAGTATCTTCCATGTATAATATATATTATTTGATACCTTTCTTGTCTCCTTTCCAGAGAACATTTTAAGAACTTTGAGGCAG